TCATCTCATTTCGATAAATCATATTCATTTTTTCTTAAATACAATTTTTCTATCAGAATACTATCCAATTAGTTAATATTATAATACCAGATAATTAATTTTATCAGATTTTCATGTCCTAATAGGTAAAGTTGAGAAGTTATTTTCCGAAGATTTTCGACAAAATTAATAGTATACATTATATAGATAATAGATATGAAATGTATAGGTATTGTTTTTTTGAAATTGTCACATAGTAAATGGCTTACATACAAAGTGATTAATCGCCAAAGCCTGAATTTAAATATATTTTATTTTGCGCAATTAATCACCCCATTTAAGATTGAAAATTCGAAAGATTAGAAGTGTGAAGGGACACACGTGAACATTAGCCCACAAATTATTAGTTATTAAACAATATAATTATATATAAAATTTTTTGAATATGATAATCATAACAATTGTTCTTAATAATATTTGAACTATAAAAATAAGTATACTTTGTTCCAAAAAATTAGCTACAAAATCATATGTGACATTAATGTACCTATTAATTATAAGTTACTTTATGTACACGTAGATAAAGCAGTGAATTTGTTATACAATACATTTTATCTATTATATTATCTAGATAAAATTTTGATTATGGATATCTTAGCCAGATGAAATTTTCATGATCTATTCTCAAACCTGCTATTAAGAATTCTAAAATAATGAATTTATAATAATAGTAATAGCGTGTTGATATCAACTCCAATAAATCAATGATTTATTGATCAAAATTAAAAATAACTCCTTGAAATATGTAGATTGGTTAATCTAGGTTTACTAAATAAATACATGGTATATATAGGTACCCTATAATAAATTTACTAACCATACAAGCATTAACTATGATATAGTATATACTGTATTTTCTTGGATGTATCAATTATTTATTATTTATCTAGTATTCAGTGATTTATAGGTAGATACATTTTCAAAGCTCATTTTAATAATCTACTTAATTGACATTTAACAGTCTTTTAACCTAATTGTATCTATTTAAAATTATCCAATAAACAATAATCTGATTTTTGAAAAAATGTCGGTTATTACCTTTCAATTTAGCAAGGTAGTATAATATGTGAGTTATATAATAAAATCATAGAGACTATGAACCAATAGTCTGTCCCAAATAAGACCAGATGAATTCGTAAAATATTTTTTTGACCCTTACAAATTTTAACCTAACTTTAAAAAAAAAAAACACAGACTAAGACTAAGAAAAAAATGTACAATTCATTGCATTTGAAGAGGAGGCCAGCCAAAATTTAAAACTTTAATTGGAAAATTTTTCAAAATCACAAAATAAAAAATTCTAATTTGTTATCACTCAGGCCAAACCGAACGAACCAGTGATGTTAATATCTGTTTATGATTGGACCAAACCCAATGAATTACCCCAATATCAATAACAAATAATGTACAATGCAATTAGACCGGACCGGGTTGATCTCTAATAACTAGGTACTCTAAATATTATTATTTGTTTTAATTTTTCAATTGTTTACATAAGCGTTAAGTATACGCGATGAACAAAAATTAAATACCTATTGATAAATTTATTTATGCATGACAATCAATTTTAACTAAAAAATCATATAATAAAAGAAATAAAATCCTTGTATTCTTGTATCTTCTACGATATTTTAATACATAAAAAGTCAAAATATCATTTAAGCCAGCGACACCCCGTTTATCAAGCAACCATTTGACAGTCAAATGCTCTAGCAAATAACATATTATATATTATACATTATTTATTTATCATACTATACACATTATAAATGCATAATACTGAATTACATAATCTTCCTTTTAAACATTTAGTTTGATAAAAAAAGGAACATTTATGACACTAGAAATTTAGCCAAATAAATAAACGTATGTTTTGTCATTTAATTGAAAACGTACAAACAAGTATTATTTCGACAATATCAAATTTCTAACAATCGTAATACAAGTATTAAGTATCCAGTATAATTGTGTGAAACTATACTTGTTTTGATTTTTTCGTTTGGTAAACAAGATTAGAGCTTTTTAAAAATCTATACAAATAATATCGCACTTATCACATGTCAACGGGTCTATAATTTTAATAGTATTATAGAAATGTCAAATACTTACCAAACAAAACAATGATTTACAATTTAAACGTTTGTTAGAAACACAAGAAAAGCTGGTTGATTTAACGCATGTTTAATAGTGGCACAAGAATTATAACAGCAAATTTAATACACGACGAACAGTAATGAATAAATGCTAAATGAAAAACAAAAAAGACACCGGTCCAATATTTCGCACCTATACAATGGCATATGGGCGTATAGCGTCATAGCGATGGCCGACGCAGTGTGAACAAAATAATATTAACAATAATGAAATGAACAGTGTAGACAACAGCAATTGATAGTCTTTATTATTGGGTAGATACTTTTAAGAATTAGATTTTCGCAGAGTTTAGTGAAGAAGGGATGCTGACTTTTTTGTCTGTAAGAAGTGGTGAAATAAGGGGATTGTTAGATTCGGGAAAGAGCATTATTAATGAGAATTTCCATTTAATTGGAACGTAAGAGAGTCTTAGAATTGAGTTGAGAATGTGAGTGATGTGGATTGTAGTTTTGGGTGGCAGTTTGCTTGCTATTTCGACTGTTATCAAGTCAAATCCCTTGCCTAGGGGAAATTTATGGATTTGTGTTTTTATTTCGTTTGGGGAAAATCATTTTGGAAGTNTCGGTTGAAATCAGATTTTTCTGAGTCATTTATGACCCAGATGCCATCTTACATTTTAAGAAATGGACAGTAGTTTTGTGTTTTAATATTTTGCGAGTTTTTTTCCATAGGGTGCCTTTTTTTTTTTTCAAAGAGGGAAGCTATATGATTTGAGTAGTCGTTGGCTCGCTGTTTAGTTAGTTGTGCTTTAAGAATATTGCAAAGTTTATTGAACGTTTATAGAATGGGTATTTTATACGTTGTCAGATTGCTCTCGCCCTTCTTTTTAGAACTATCAGGGTTCTTGATGTGTGTAGGTAGTGAATTATGGTTATGGCTCGAGGGGATCTTGGGGGCGCCATTACACTAAGTGCATTTAGCAGGAGATTTTTGGCAAGTTAAGGGGAGGTGAAGTTTAGCACATCGTACGGATCTGAGAAGATATGCAATGTAAGTCTTGGTGTGACCATACTCTTGGCAATTTAGGCATTGAACTAAGTCACGCTTCCTATAAGGGTCTTCAATATTTGGTGTGAAGAAGGTGGTTAACGTGGAAGACATTTTTATTTAAATCGGACGGTTTGCGGGTTATTTCGGCTGTTATCAAGTCAAACCCGGTGACTTGCCTAGGGGAAATTTATAGATTTGTGTTTTTATTTCGTTTGGGGAAAATCATTTTGGAAGTAGAATGAGCCGTAATGGGATAGATAAAAACTGATTGATTTCATCTTCGTTGGAAGGGAAAAGTGAGTTTGCATTCGATTGAAATCAGATTTTTTATTGATAGATTGAAGTGATAACATTTCGGATGGATTTCAATATGTACTTTACCATTTTGTGAGATGAGGATGTTTTTTAGTTTTGTATTTCTCAATTTTGTATTGATATGGTGCAAGTATGAGGATGTGCGTTTTGGTAATTTCAAATTTCAACTTACAAGACCACTTTATGCTGAAATTTCTTTTCATACTGGTTTAAAATAGCCTTAAACACCTATAATAGTGACATGAGTAAATATAAATAGAATAGAATTCTTGTTGAGGATGTGCTTACAGAAAGTTTGAACTTCTTACCCGGACCCCACCGTTAGTTTTTATACTAGCAAAATCTGAGAATTACTTTACTTATTTTAATAAATACAAATGAGAAAAATTTGACTCTATTGACGAAGCCTTTTTATATTATGTTTTTAAATAGGTAACCAACAAAGACTTCTTTTCTCCTCTTTCATTGCAATACTGTATACAAATGCAATAATAATTTATTTTATAATGTTACATTCATTTTTAATGCAAGATAATTTTATCAATCAAAAAAAGAATTTCTGCGTTTATAAATAACGTGTAAAAAAAGAAAAATTAAAATTTTGCTCATGATTATAAAGGTATAATATAATGAAGTTATTAGAAAGATAATTTTGAAGTTTAATTTAAAGAAAAATGTACAAATGGATCCACATTTTTAATAGCTTAATGTTTAATGTTTCAAATTTTTAAAATAATACGATTTTGTTTAAGTCTTCTTTATTTGAATAACACCCCTTACTTATAGCAGATTCTTAATTTAATAATAGTAACAATTAACACCTCAATTAATTAACACATTGATACATCAAATTTTTATTTACAACAATAATAATATTATGATTTGTAATAACAATAACAAAATAATACACTAATATGTCAACATCAATTAATTTTGTTGAGCATAATTATCCAAAAAATAGGTAATCATATTTCCTTTTCCTTTAACTTCAATGACACCGCGACAAGTCAATGGATATCCTTTTAGTTTCAATATTTCATATACTTCATCAGTAACCTGCACAAATGACAGTAAAATATTATTTATAACCTAATCTATAATTAATAATTTATTTAACTTTTTATAATTTATATTTAACAATAAATGTTTTATTCATTAAAAAATTGTTTGGGAAAACATTCAATAAGCATACTCAACTATGGATGTATAGACATAATACAAATATATGATATTGAAGATAAAGGGCTTCAGGATAAATGAAATAGTACTACTTTACCACAAAAATTAGATTAATTGAATATTCAGATAACATATGATGAATTAGGCACGTGATTTTTTTCATTACACACAATTATTCAGAATCAGAACTCAAGTAAAGGAGTAAATTAATATTTGTTTAAACCATATAAGTACCAGAAATTTATCTTTCTATTAGTAATAAATTAGTTTGTACTATTTTGTATACTTCCTGTATTATGCGTGCAAATTTGTATACTAATGAGCAGGTAGGTAACAGTATCTTTGCAGTTTTTTAAAATTATGCTATTGAATTAATTTAGTTGTAATTTTAAGGGCAGATAATAAGTAAGTAAATAAGTAAACTTTTTGTAGATTTCTTATGGCTGAATTCACTTATGTAATGTCAATGGCTATGGTATAATACACTCGAAGCTAAGAAAAAATGTTTATGAAAAAAAACTCACAGAATAAATGATATGCATAATATTTGTGAGATTTTTTTTCCAGGGTGTGTTTAATTTCTTAGATTTTTTTCTGTGGTAATTTTTCCAACTGCACATACTGCATTCATACTGAATAATAAACTAGATTTTTTTTCAATATTTACTTGTATTTTATCCAACATTCCGGTCGAATCCATTCGACTGGCCACATTTACCGCATTGCCCCAAATATCATATTGAGGTTTCCTAGCTCCTATAACGCCAGCCACCACTGAACCGATGTTTATACCTGCAGCCAATATAAACAATTTTTATTTAAAATATTTTTAAAACAAAACACCTATACATTTATTAGTTATTACTTATCTAATAAAATTAATAACTTGAAAATATTGGTAAAAGAAAAATCAGTTTTGGTGCAAAATAATATATTAACTTCAAAGGGTGGAGTTGCTATTCATCATTTATGGTATACATTTTTACATTAATTAGTGCTTAAAGTAGTGCAATTTTGTAATTTGATAAGCCATTTAATTATTGTTGTAATATCAATTATAAAAATTCATTACAAAAACTGTAGAAAACAAAGATCGTCATAGAACAGGAAAATGTCATTTTAAAATAATAATATACATTTCTTATATAATTTCTTTGAAATTCAACTCAACTATTAGTAAACTTATAATGTGTAAGTTAGGTTAAGTTAAGTTTAATATTTAATTTTTTTTTTATCAAAAAGATAGATTAAATCAAATTTTAACAGAAAAAAAATTCTTAAGGTGGCCATTATTGATTCCACCCTACTTAATACAGAGTTTAAAAAATTGTCTATAAAAAAAAAAAAAACATAATTTTGGCAAATTCTTATGCCAGCACTACATTTACGTTTTTGCACTAAGGCTAGCCACACACCAAAAGAGCATAAGTGTGTTAGACAGTATTAATCAGGATAACACTGTCTTAATAAAAATAAAAAATAGGAAATAACAATGCATAAGCACACTGATAAAACATAGACAAAACAAAACTTTAAACACAATTAGTTATGACTAGGGCTGAGGACTTCTAGAACTTAAAAATATGCATGCACTTAAACACTTAAAAATCAAGAAACATGCGCTTATAATATACTCTAAAAAATTACATTATGGTTAGTTATAAATACTCGAATTTACCAATGTTCTTTTTTGTCTAAGCTAATTTAAGAACTTATTTCGAAAATTCCCAAATATTTTCTTAATTTTTCTAATATAATCAATAACGCATTTGTATGCAATAATGACAAAATATGCAAACATATGCAAAATAAAATTTTAAATTCGATCTCTTGGTATTGTAAATCACATTTGTTGATCACTAGAATTTTTCTACGATCTTTTTAAAAAAATATGAAAAAACTAGAAGTCCTCAGCTCTAGTCATGATTGATACTGTCTAAAGTGTCTACATTATGTGTTAGTCACAACTAGACAAAAAAGAAAACTTGTGTCTATTTTTCATATAAACTTATCACATAATGTCTTGTAATGGAAAAAGTTTGATTAGTTTAGTAAAAATGAGACCACCCATTTATATACTTTGTATAGCAACAAAATTGTTCAAACAAGTTACGGAAAAAAATTAATGTTAATTGTAATTTTAATATTAATATATTAAAAAATTTAGTTATTATTGTAAATAATAATGATATACTGTAGTTATTATAATAATACTTATTACAAACAAAGTCCCAAATTTTATATTTATGTAAAATTTTTAAACTTACTTTCGTCTGAACTCAGTTCGCAAATTAAAGATAAAATTACATGTGTTTTTTTTTATTTAACAGGTGAATCCAAATATATATATATTTTTAATTTTTTTCTAAATTTTTTGATGTTTACTACATGTAAATTGCAATATCTTTATTAGATGACATCTTGACAATTGATTTTTGTTTTATCTAGGTAGTGTGCACTTTACAAAAACAAATTGATTTTAGTTTACTAACACTGTCTAAAATAGTTTTGCTCTTTTGGTATGTGGCCGGCCTAAGATTCCACGAGAGCAGCCAAGCAAGTGGTGAACTAGGTGTGTTCATCTTGAACCGCATGCTCTGGAAACATTTTTTTTGTGTCCGAGTCAAATAAAACGAGGCCAGTCGAGACACGAACATGAGAGTATCATGTACACAATAGTTGGAGTACCTAATTTGCTGAACTACTGAACTGTTGAACTGGGGACACAGAATATTTTAGCGCTATTAGTGATTTTTATCAAGTGCTTCAGTTGAAAATTGCACTAGTTATAAACTTGTAACCCAATTCAGTATTTTATGGATTTGCGGTGGTAGTTCAGCAGATTTGCTCTAAAATCCGTAAGACTTTACCAGAAATTATGAAGTTTAGTATACCTACATGATGAATTCTACTATATTTAAATAACTTGTTAGTTCTGAGTTTTAATACAGTACTATTTACTATTGAGTTAAAGTGGCTTCAGTTCAGCAGTTCAGCAAAATAGACCAGCCCCACACTAGTGATTAGTATATTGTTGATAAAACATATCTATGGTCGAGGCCTCTGCGTAGGTAGAAATATTTTTCATAAAAGTTTGAATAGGAAATACTACTGATTATGGATTTTAAAATTGTGTTAATTTTCAGAGAAAAGTAGGTAGGCTCAGGCCTACCAGCTGGCTACGCGACTAGTTCGAGATAAGCTGAGAATGTACTGTGTGCACTTGTGCTTCCTTGCCTAGCCTCGACGAATGTGTATTGTCAGTATTATAACTTTTATATTTTTATGTTATTTTAGTTGCCTATAACTCAGGAGGTCCGTTATAATTCCTCTTAATATAAAGGTGTAAAATTATACAGCTTCTGAAAATATATTTAAAAGATAAGTAGTCATACACTATAGAGTAAGAATACAATAATAAAACATTATTTGCACACTTGTTATTCTGTTTTATTTATACACAGATTATGTTTGGTGCAAGTTTAGTGTTTATCTACTGTAAATAGTTAAATAAACACGTTGGATACCTACTTATACACAAACACGATGAATTATACCAGTTAATACTTAATAGTTGTAGTAATTTTACTTGTAAATTGTAATACATGGATAATTTGTGCTAGATTACATTTGGAAGTTGCAGTTATGATAAAATACAACAAAATTGTATTCATTCGTTTTCGAATCACTTCTGAATCCAGATTTGAATCAAACAGTAGGATTAAAAGACTAAAATTAGACATTTTTTTTTGTAAAAAACAAACTGACATACTTTGCACGATGGGTTTACCACTATTGTAGGTGGGAAGTTGGAAAGATAGAGGGGAAATGAAATGTATATCTGTATGTAAGTATTAATCATTGCTAATGAAAAAAAGATTATGAGCGCAATTCGGTAATATGTTTTGAAAGGCCGTAATATTTACGATTTGAAAATAATATATTTAGTATATTTTCCCGTTTTGCTCATGTTTTTCTATTTATTATGAAAACTCCTGAGAAAATCAAAAAAGTATGTGCTTACAGTACCACCCTAGTCAGGTTTCCTAATAGAAAAGTTATTCGCAGGCAAAAAAATTAACATCACAGTAAAATCCCAATACATTCCTTACCCCCTCAGAATTTAAAAAATAAATAAATTTTAAATAGACTAAAAGAATAATAATA